AGAAAAGAAAAAGAGAGAGAGAGCGAGAGCATCTCGTTGCGTGGCTGGGCCACGGCCACGATGCCTCGGCCACGTCCGAGGGGGGGGGGGGGAAAGGCCGCATGCCGGACTGGACTGCAGTTGCAAACTCGGCCTTGTGACTTTTCTGCATGTCAAGAGTTTCGACTGCAGTTGAAACTTGCTACCGTACTGGACTCCAAAAACGCAGTTCGGACTTGATAGCTGGGCACTGATCGGTACTGGACTCCAAAAGTACTGGTGGGTTAAGCCTTGCCTCTTCACATCGCCACATAGAATTGGCACTGATCGGATTAGATTGGATTTCAATGTGGATCGGATTGGATTGGATTGAATTGGATTGGACTGGATTGAAATTGGATTGGATTGGATTTGGATTGGATTGGATTGGATTTGATTGGATTGGATATTTGGATTTGGCTGGATAGATTTGATTGAATTGGGTTGGATTGGATTGGTTTGGATTGGATTTGGATTGGATTGGATTGGATTGGATTGGATTGGATATTTGGATTTGGCTGGATAGATTTGATTGAATTGGGTTGGCTTGGATTGGCTTCGATTGGATGTGGATGTGCATTGGATTGGATTAGATTATATTGGGTCAAGTAATTCCAAATATGCTTTTCTAGGAGCACTACGATCTGCTGCTCAAATGATGTCTTATGAAGTTTCTATTGGTCTTATTATAATTACTGTATTAGTTTGTGTAGGTTGTTGTAATTCTGCAGAAATCGTCATAGCACAAAAACAGATATGGCTTGGTATTGGCCTTTTTCCTTTATTGATTCTGTTTTGCATTTCTTGTTTATTGGATCGGATTGGATTGGATGTGGATGTCGACTGGACTGGATTGGATTCGATGGGATTGGATTGGATGTGGATTGCATTAGATTAGATTGCATCATCAACCACATGGCTGGGTCCCCTGGGGAAATGCCATGTGACAAATGGACAATTGTCCGCAAATCCCCACGATTAGGTATCGAGTATGCCCGTTACAATGCACTTGGGCATGCAGACGACTACCTTCTCAATCCAAAAACAAGGTACATACGTTGTATTCAACGTACATCAACGGGTTTTCAGAAACAGTTGTTTTTTTTCCTTCCAAGTTGAACGTACCCTCAAATACAACATATGTATGATGTGCTCAAATACAATGTACATACGAACAACATCGATATTCGAACACAACAACGAACATAAGCAAGATAGTTCTTAGTACTTCATACATTGTATTGAGGGCGCGCTTGGGCGTTCATTTCTATCGAGGGGCATTTGGGCACATCGCTCTGCTGCACAACATTCTAAATGCGTCAAGACGGCATTGAATCCAGCTGCATTCAGACTGACCCAACATCGTGATCCAGCTCCGTTCAGATTAACCCGACATATTGCATGCACCGGGAACATAACAAAAACCAAGTACCTTAAGAATATTCTGTAGGCCCTTCGGGCCTCGCTCCACTATTCTTCCGTTTCGTATACTTGGAGAGTGGTGCACCGCTCCACGACATTCTCGATGGTAACATCTCGAAAATCCATCGAGAGCTGTCACAACAATCCCTTTGAGAGTACTCTCCACCTGAGTAGGGATCCGGGCCGCCCGGGTGACCGGCAGGGGCCCGGGGGAGGTCCCGGGCGGCCTGGCCGGGCAGGGCATCCGGTTGGGGGCCGGGCCCCCCCAGCGCAC